ATTAATCTCCCCTACAAGCACTTGACCTCCGAGGTGACCAGGCGGAGAGTCATCATGGCCACCAGAAAAGGGATAATCACCCAGAAAAGTGATGAAGCTAAGATGATCTCCCACTTGGATTGGGAACAAGCCCCTCCCCTCACAGGACCCACCTCAGTGTACCTCCTGCCCCACCTCACTCTCCAGCTGAGGATCCCACGGACTCCTAAGATAAAAACCTTAAGTTAATTTGAAATGAATTATTACACAGAACTCCAGAAAATAGTTTCAGTGGTATTCTTGAGGTTTGTCTTAGAAGACTCTTGAAGACCTTTGTTCTTTCCTATTTTTCTTCATCACCTAGAATTACCATACAGTATGGTTTACCCTTGTGAATATGCTTAGTCATTTTTGATTTTTCAAGCCAAGTCTCTGATACAATATGCATAGTCTTTTATCTTTAATTTACATCATGTTATAGAACTATTGCTGTAGTCAGTTATAGTTAAATTAATAAAGAATTATCAGGCCCTGTTGTTTATTACTAAATCTGAATCCGTGAAAAGGCCAGGGCTTTAAGGTCCAGAATTTAAAGATCTTAGGTAGTGGGAACCCTGAGGTGGCTGGATTTTCAAAACGCAACCCAAGACACTACAGTTGTGTGGCCCTATAACTAACTAGCTTAATGGAGCTGCATTTCCATGCTGTGTGCTAGGGCTAGGGTGGTTGAGTTTTGTGTTTATTGACAATGTTTTTAAAGTTTGCTTCTGGGAGATTTCAAGTGATTTTCAAACTCTGTAATGGAAAACTCTACCCTGAAAAGCAGCCAAGTGCAGGATGGTTCTGCTGGGGAGAAGTCTATTGCTTGAGTCCCTTCCAAGCTCCTTGACCTCAGTGCACCACTAAGGACCCCCAGAGCTCTTCTGAATTGTTTGAAGGCATCAAAAATGTGATAATTCTGGCGTACATACACATATAAGAAAGACTCCTACATGCCATCCTTTATTTAATCTGCTTCTTCCTAGAGTCCTTGTAGGTGTTCTCTCTCCAGGCCTGCCCTTAGAAATGTGCCCTGGGTCCCCTATGAAAAAGGGAGCTGAGCTTCTGTGCCCCATTGTGGGGTTGGGGTAATCACTCTGTGCTCTCCCCTGCCCCTAACCCCAAACATTTAATGAAACCAATGTGCCTTTGTTAAAAAAAAGTCTAATTTAAATGGACAGAAAGCAAGCCATTGGCTTTCTGGGGCTGGAGGTGTTGATGGAGTTGGCTGGGAGAAAGGTAGGGAAACTTTCTGGCGTGGTGAAAATGTTCTATATCTTCATTTGATAGTGGTTGCATGAGTTAATAAATTAGCCAAAACTCATCGAAATGTACACTTCAAATGGGTACATTTGGTGTATGTACATCAATAGAATTGATTTTAAAATAAACTAGAAGCTCAGTTTACTTCTTTATTCTCTTTGGACTCTTTTGGTCCTCCCTTTCATAGGAAAAAAAAAATGCATGAACGCCTTTGACTTTTGTGATCAAGAGCAAAGTTGCAGAATCTACACAGGAAAACCCAAGTTAATATCTCCAAATTTCATATGCTTTATTCTGGTGAAAGTGAGAGGTGATATGAGGAGAGACCATTTTTCAAGGATAAGATATAATGTAATAGGTCCAAACAGAGACACTTATTAATCTTCCCAATATGCCAAGTAATGTTAAGTGTTGAGAGTATATCCAAGAGTAAGATATTTGACTGTCTGCATCTGAGTATAGGAACCTTTCCTGTCTGTCCTATGTAGTATTCCCAGTGCCTAGCACTGTATGCCTGCTACATGCTTATTGAATTGTTGAAGAAAAACATGCTTACCTTTATCATAGATATTAAAATCTAGTGCAAGTAACAGGCATAGATTTATGTAATTTTAATAGACAGTTAATTGCCGGGTGATGACACATTCGGTACTATGGGAATAGAGAGGAGGAACAATTAGCACAAACTGCAGTTTCTGGATGTGTCGTATGAAGGGGAAGTGTCCATGCTGGGAAAAGTGAATTTGAGAAAAACAAGAGAAAAGGTATAATATGTCAGAGAGAAAAAAATTGCCTATGTAGGCCATGGAGATTTTCTAATTCATTCAGGGAATATTTAGTGAACTACCATCATGTGCTAAGTACTGTTGTAGGAGCAGAGGACTGAAGACGACTAAGAAAACAATCCCTGTCCTCATAAGGTTTATATACTAATGGAGGAGGCAGAAATTTTTTTAAAAACACCACTTAATTTACTGTTATGCTGAAAATAGAGAAATAAAGGCAGTAAAGAGAAAATAAAGGAACGTATTGGCCAAAGAAAGTGATGGGGAAGTGGGTGTTCTATTTTATGTAAGATTGTCACAGAAAGAATCTGAAGAGAGTGAGCCATGTGCATATGGAGGGGAAAAGCTTTTACAGCAGAGAGAATAGCCTGTGACAAAGCCATGATTGAGGGCTTGCTTGCCATGCTCAACAAGCAGTAGGGAGGTCAGTATGGCTGAAGAAGAGTGAGCAAAAGGGACAGAGAGGAGAGGATATCTGATGTTCATGGTGGTAGATGGTGAACCATTTTAAGGAATTTGGATTATACTTAAGTGAAATGAGAAAACATTGGATAAGAAACATGTATGACTGCCATTTAAATGTATTGCTCTGGGCAGGGCATGGTGGCTCACACCTGTAATCCCATCACTTTGAAAGGCCAAGGCCTTGAACTTCTGGCCTCATGACATCCTTCTGCCTCAGCCTCTGAAAGCTCTGGAATTACAGGTGTGAGCCACCATACTTGGCTTCAGACAACTCTTATATGTTGACATTTGTATAGTTCTTTGGCCACCATTGGGGTTTTAAAGTCATAATGAATACACTGTACACTGGACATAATAATCTTGGAGTTTTCGGCAAATGGTTGGTAGTGCTCATAACCTGGTAAAAACGTAGAAGGGGAGAAATAGAGGCCAGGTTGAAATCTGGAAAACACCAGTATTTGAGAGCCAGGTAGAACAGGAAGAGTTCATGAAAGAGATTAAGATGGAATGGTCAGAAAGAGAAGAGAAGTATCACAGAGAAAGTGGCGACTTGTCTTACAAAGCCCAACAAGAGCTGACCCCTTTATGCTTTCCCAGGCCCTTCTATCACTCCCTCTCTAGTTCACTGTAGAGATTAGGCAACACTGGTATCCTTGACATAAAGCAAGATCGATCCTATCTCTGAGCCTTTGCATTTGCAGTTCCTTTTTTTTTCCAGATCATTGCAAGATGATCATTTTGTGATTCATTATAATCCTTCAAGTCTCAGCTCACAAGACATCTCTTCAGAGGAGCCTTTCCTGATGTCCCTAAATAAAGATAGCCTTTACCTATTATCCTATTATAGTATAGAATTCTTTTTTACTTTCTTCCTAGGACTGATCACAATCTGAATTTATTTAATTCATATATTTCTTTTTTAAAAATTAAATTTCTGCCCTGGATTGTAGACTCAATGAGAGCCAAAACCTTGTCTTTCTTCTTTACCTAATTTTTCTCAGGGTCTAGGACCTTACATCTCACATAGCAGGTGGCCAGTAATTATTTATTGAATGTGTCAAGTCAAGAAGCAAAGTGCAAAGAGAGCTCTAAGAAGAATAAATGGCAATAATATCAAAAACAGGAGAAAGGTCTAACAAAATTAAGAGATTTCCATTGAATTTGACACAATTCCTGTCCTTAGTGCCTGGTTGATGGCACCAAGTATAGATCCTGGAAATATACAAGGTATTTCAAAGCAGCATACTATTATATGATGTAAATGTTACACAAATGTGGAGGTAGCAAATCAGTGACATCATGAATACTTTTAAACTCTGCTCTGGTCTTAAGCCACCACCCATTGCTCTGGGAGTGAGGAAAATGGTGCTATTATTGAGCCTTGTTTGAAGTCATGCTATTGGTGCCTATTGACTTGCAAATATTTGAGTCATGTTTTTGTTTTTAAGAGGGTGAACTGCAACTGTTTCAGATTTTGTTACTCTAAGGTTTGTGTTAACTATTGATCATATTTTTCAGTTGTAAAATTTTGATCAGCTTCATTTTAGAAAGAGATCACTTACGGAAATTTGTGATCATCAATATGAAAGAGAAGATTTTGCATTAGAAACAGTCACTTGAACACTATTATTCATCTGGATAATAGGTTTTGATTACTTATACATGTCAGTTTTTTACAGAGCTTAACATATATACCATCTGCCTTTATAAACTATTTAATTTTTAAGATCTTGCATATGGTTGACTCTGCATGGGCTGGGGGGTGGGAGGAAAGTGGGTAGGCAAATCTGGTCTTCAGTGTCATTTGCCCATATAGGCATCTTTGAAGACATCCGTGCCTTATCTGATCCACAGCGATCTCTGTTCACAATGGCTGTGACATTGTCCCATCTGGCCTACGGCTGTTGGTCCACTTGGGTCACCATGGAGATATGCCTTATTTCAGTAAGCACAATCATTTCAGGTCCAGTGGTTCTCTTGCTATGTCTGAGCCACACTTAACAAAAGTCAATTATTTTCCTTTTCCTCTGCCACACTGCAAAGTGGAAAGTTCTGATACTGTCGAAGACTTTGTCTGCCTAAATGTACTTAGCAGTCATTTTTTTCTTTTAGGTTTGCCTCCTTTGGTTCAACCTAGATTCCACAAACTTCTCAGGCAATTGGCCCTTGCCTTGGACTTGGCCTAGAAGCATGGACAATGCCCCTCCCTTGGAGACACATTGAAGTCTGTGTTTGTGTTGCTTTTTTTTTTTTCTTTGACTTCTATCAACATTCAGGGAATATTGTTTTCAAAATTGGCCATGGAACTCTAGGGAAACCTGTGCATTTCATCATATTTTATCCTAAATCATTTGCTATATTATGACTTCAACATAGTAGACTTCTTTCTACTCTTTTGCCTCATTGTTTAGCCTTCTGAATTCAAAAGCCAAGAAGTGATTACTTTTTTTCTGTGTTTTATGTTGTCAGATCCCTTCTCTGAAACAATCATATGAGGACAGCTTAGCTGACTAAGCAGAGTAAGTAAGCCAAGACATGATTCTGGGTGTGTGGGTGGGGATCACATTGGCTAATATTTTAACCTTATTATTCCATCTCTCATTTAAATGTCAGCGTATTATTTAAAAATAAGAGTTATAAGTAGACAAACCATGTAATTTCCATTTCAGTGCCTCATGTTCTTCTATCCACGCAGTAACAGAAAGGTTAATAAGAACTGAAAAGGAACATTAAGGTAGTAAGGCAGCAGAGTAGACACTAGGGAACATTTAATTATTGGATTTTCTCTGATTCCATTAGTGAGATATTTTTTGTGTTCTTGGTTCGTATTTGCAGTATGAATCTAATCTACTCCTCCCCTGCCCTACCAGAAGAAATGATGAAGGAGTATATAAAGTCAATAAGGACCCATGTTTGGTAAATTTCATTCCCTGTCTTTCCAGGTATCCTTCCTTGCTCCAAAGCCTGAAATCTTAACCCTCAATGCATATACATACACACACGTACACATTTATATGTACACATTAACACAGATAACACGTATGCTGGAGAGTCATTTGGATTATCAAACTATTCTTTTGGAGTACGAAAGCTACTCTTCATCCAGTAGTAGCTTGTTTTCAAAAAAGTGTGGATTTGGAGGTTTAAGAGAAGAAGAAAACAACAAGACGAAGAAAGAAACAGATTTTGTCAACATAAATTCAGTTCTACTTTGCTGTGGTCATTCCACTTCCTCCTTCGGTATCTTTAATACAAAAACTAGATTATGCTACACTTGGATAACTTTGGAACTGTCAACAGTGTGGAGAATTGGTAGAGAGTTAGAAAATGAAGAAAAGTTAAAGGATGCCAAACAATTGGAGAATGATGAAAAATTGTAGAATATAATGGAGAATTGGAGAATTATGAAAAGTTGTTTGGTTTCAGTTTTTAGAAGATGATCTACACAGAAGTATTGGAATTTGTGGTAGAGTTAGGAAAACACCACCCAATCCTACAGATCCAATGTTTAGGTGTAAACACCAACCTCTGACATGTAAGTTGGTGGCCCTTGGGAGTCATGGAAGAAGTTGAGCTTTTAGAGTAAATTAGTAATTACCATGCTACTTATTAAGACCTTAATACTGAGGTATTGTTTTTATTATTATATTATAGCATGTTGCTTTATAATGCACTTAAATCATCTCTGCCATTAGTATTTTATGTCTTTAACTATAAGCTCCTTGAGGGTAGTGGTCGTACTCTTTATTTCTTAGGATCCTTTTACAATATTTCATATGTTTAGCTCACATAAAACACTTGAAACATGTTAATTAATTTTCCTTTACAGTGAAGCTTATGAGTTTTCTTCTCTCCAAGTTATTTCTAATATATTTACTATGTCTTTCTGACTAGTTTGTAAGCTTACTAGAGGCAGGGACCAGGCCTTCCACTTAGTTTCATTTTCTCATCCCTAGCAGAGTGATAGACACAGATGGGTTCATTAAATACTTGTTGATGGATTGAATGATTGACTAGAAATTTGCTTCAGGCTCTAGTTCTGGGAAATTAAAGCTTTAGTTTGTCAGAACAAACAAGCAAATAAACAAAATTAGAATAGTAAAGTATCTCTAGATGTCTTAATGGTTCTGATAATTTCATTGATACAAGATCTTATATTTAATTATAACTTGTTTGGTTTCTGATAACAGAATTTCTATTCGAATTTGCTTTCCTCAAATAAATGAATGAATGAACAGGTGTAACAAAATTAAGTTTACTTGGTTACATAACTGACGAATCCATGAGCACAAGACCACTTTCATCTGTCTTCTTTGCTGGTCTCTGCTTTTCTCCTCATTGCCTTTTTTTTTTTTTTGAGATGGAGTTTCGCTCTTGTTACCCAGGCTGGAGTGCAATGGTGCGATCTCGGCTCACCGCAACCTCCGCCTCCCGGGTTCAGGCAATTCTCCTGCCTCAGCCTCCTGAGTAGCTGGGATTACGGGCAAGTGCCACTGTGCCCAGCTAATTTTTTGTATTTTTAGTAGAGACGGGGTTTCACCATGTTGACCAGGATGGTCTTGATCTCTTGACCTCGTGATCCACCCGCCTCAGCCTCCCAAAGTGCTGGGATTACAGGCTTGAGCCACCGTGCCCGGCCTCCTCATTGCCTTTTTATTAACACAGGCTTTTCTCTCATATGTGCCTCAGGTTTCCTTCTTACTACTCTAGAAAGCCCTGGAGCTGACTTTTGATCACTCTCATGGCTTGACTGAGATCATCGTCATGGGTTTGAATCATTATTCTGGCCAAAGAGTTGTAATATTGTCATTATGCAGGTCTGAGTCACATGTTTATCTCAGAATCAGATGGTATGTTCAGTTAGACTCAGACTGACATTGGGGAACGGATATTTCCCCATTACAAAATTGAGATATTGTTTTCAAATGAAGGAGAATGGATGTTGTTAGGCAAAAACCGCAGCTGTCTCCCAGAGATCCTCTTTTTAGTTTTTCCAAACTGGAGTCAATGGTTAAAGAGATCTGTGTATAAGAAATATTTTCTTATGTAATGATTTATTTCTTCATTTTATGTTCATCAACTGTCTTTCATGATAAAATATTGACCCAATATAATTACAGATCAACCATCCAACCAACCAAATAACAAAAACCTGGATACTGTAGGTTGCATGTATAATTCTCTTGAACTTTCTGATAAATTGGAAATAACGTTGGGCCCTTCAATTCTATCCCTACTTTCTCTCTCATCTTAGAAGTCTGGGTTGGAAACAGCTACTGAAGTTTGCTTTAATACAGGGTTTTTTAGATGTAACTATGCATCAGAATCACCAGCTGTTATTAGAAAATACTGATAATCCAGTATTTTCTATTTTCCCCATGCCCAGAAGTTCTTATTTCATGAACCTGTAGAAAGAATCAGGTATTGGAATATTTTGAGACTCTAGTGAGTCTCATATGCAGACGTGGTTGGGACCTCTGTAAGACTTACTCCCTTTGCAGTGACTCTAAGGGGCTTGTGAATCAGGAATTACAAACAATGAGCACAGTTATACCTAACATAGTTCCAGTCTGCAACTGTTAACAGCTGCTCAATTCCCTCCAGGTGTACGTTTCCCCTGTCCATCACACCTTTGCAAAACCCAGCAAACACAATTGTAATAACAACAGAGAAGTTCACAGAAAGGTTGATGCCAAAGATATGTTTTTCCTTTTGCTCATGTGCTAATTTTCTTTTCACATTTATAAACACTGAGTGGTTTACATTTTGGCAGGGTTGTGCTTCTGAGTGAATACGCATTGTGCGTGCCAGTTAAGCAAAGTTTTCCCAAGAACTTTAACATTGTGGTTTAGAGGTCACTCATAATGGCTTAAAGAGTTTACCTAGAGTTTTCATCTTGCATATTATGCTTTTCCTGCAGAATGCTACTATTTTTTTCTTAATTAATTAAATATCTTTCTTTAGGAAGGTACAAGGTGTACCATGAACAATTCTGAAATGATTTAATCTATGTGTGACTACATTTTAAATAAATTAGGGAAGAAGTGAACAATGAAGTGGAGCCCATGAATATTGGTACTAGAAATGAGACAGTATGTTGATATAGGGCAAAATCTACAGAAAATGTAGGAAATTACGGAATGCATGTGATGTCTAAATTTAGATGTCATGTTATGTTTAATTATCTCCCATATCATTGAAATATTGTGGGAATTTAATTATTAATGGAATTTTAAAAATAAATATTTAAATGTTTTTCTCTCAGTTATACTTTAAGTCATTATTTCAGGTTTGGAAAATCACCATAACATAAAAATAGGGGAAATAAGGCTTGTAGAGAAGTAAAATTCAGTAGTGATTCTTTTTTTTCACTTCAAAGAGATCACTGTGCTCTCTTATAGATTGTGAGAGGATTACAGGAAATTAAAGTTCTAGAGTAAATAAAACCATATTTGAATTTTCTCAATCTTACAGTTCAAACCCCACAATCTAGCACAGTTGACATTCTAACAGAGTCTATAAATTGAGGCAGCTTTTGGAATTAGTGTATAAACTGAAAGATAACTCATGAATTGCTAATTGTGTTTGATTTGAATTTTATTGCTTTTGGCCAAAGACATTACAAGATTTAAATGGGAAGAAGCAGATACAGTATGGCCTCCAAAATGACTTATGAAAATTAAAATAGAATGAAGACAGAATGAGGTATTAAATGTATGAATTGTTATAGAGATGATATCTTAAAATAACTTATAAGGCCAGTAACAATTGTTTCTTTCCTGATGTAGAGACCATTTGATATTTAGCTAGGTTGTATACAATCATCCAGCTAAGGAAATTAGCAAAATCTGAAGGTATAATGAGAAAAGGAATAAATATGAACATTAATTAAATCTCAGGCCCTGACTTAAAGGAATAATTCTCCTTTAAGATACCAATGTGAGATAAATCATCCTACCAGAAATACACACTGTCTGAGAGTTCCAGTTGCTCCACATACTCACCATCATTTGGTATTATCAATCTTTGTAATTTTAAACATTTCAGTAGAAGTGTAGTGGCATCTCATCTTGGTTCTAGTTTGCATTTCCCTTATGACTAATGATACTGAGCATTTATCTAGATGCTTTTTTTTTTGGCCATATGTTTATCTTCTTTGAAGAAATATCTGTTCAAATCTATTGCCTATGTTTGAATTGGGTGTTTGAGTTCTTATCATTGACTCGTAAAAGTTATTTATATATTCAAATGCAAATTCTTTTTCACATATATGTATTGTAAATATTTTCTCCCAGTCTGCTGCTTGTCTTTTTGTTTCCTTAGTGCTGTCTTTAGAAGGACAGAAATTTTTAACTTTGATGATGGCCTATATATAATTTTTTTTTCTTTTATGGTTTGTGTTTTTTGCATCCCCTCTAAAATTTTTTGCCTATTCTAAGATTGAAAAGATTTATGGTTAAAACCACTTAAAAAACTACATGGAAGGTTTTTTTTTTTTTTTTTTATTTAAACCTTAAGT